TTTTGAAACAACTAAAACATGATTTTGTAAATTAAATGTAGACAAACTATGGGAAGCGGAATAGGGGAAGGCCGAGAGTCTTGGTTGGAACAAGTGGATGAATATCTGAAAGAACGTAAGGTGTTGAGCCAGAAAGACAATGTGAGGACGTGTGCTAGAAGAGAAATGATCGAGTCTGAAGCAAAGGAAGTGTGTCTGGACAGGAATCTGTGAAGAAAGTTGCTCGATAGATAGTTTGCAAGATTGTAGTCTCCTTTTGTCTGCTTCTCACCCTTTTCGGATTATAAGCGTGAGGATATGTATGTATGCATGACAAAGAATTACTTGGTATCCTGAATCCGAAGTAATACAAAGTCAAAAAATCTAAAATTTCTGTTAGTAGTTTCTGGGTCTGTAACATTTTTCGTCAATGAATGTAAAAACGTTTGACAAAAAAGCAACCAGATAGAATTGTCTGATTACTGCAAAGCTTTGCCTCAGACATGTACGTAAATGATTACAGTTGTGGTCCAATTACACGTCAGATAATGACTTCAGGGTATCTTAAAATTACTTCAGTAGTCTATCGTATATTCAGTTTCCTATAAAAAGGCTCCGCGAGTTTTTTTTACAGAATACTGAATAACCTATACGATGTGGTTAGAATTTTCACTCTTGAGTTCCAGGTGTGCTTGCACGATGCATTCAAAAGATATTACGCAGTGCTGATGGAATTTGAGAAAGGCCACATCATAGGACTGAGAGAATCGGGATGACCGTTTCGCCGAATTGCCCGCCATCTGGGCCATTCTGATGTTGAGGAAGCGGATATACAAGGTATGCCAAGGCAGGCAGGTTTTGGAAGCACCAGACAAACCATCAGTACTTACTTAAAGTTAATTTAGATAGAAAATTATAGATGTTTAAATGCTGTATATAATACTGGAATATTTTTTCGCGTAGCAAATTTATGTAACTTTCATAATGTTAAACGATTGATTACATACAGACAATTACTGAATATATTTCAATTTATTAAATGCTAAATTGAAAAAATAGGTAATTTGTCGAAAAGAGAACGACAATAAAGCAAATACTTTTAAAAAATTAAAATAAAATCCTAAAACTCAAAATTAAAATAATTCATTCAATTTATAGTGAAAAGTTCCAATAATTTAATATACGAGGGGTGTTCAAAAAGTATCAGACCTTTGGTCGGCAAAAATACATTTATTGATTTTGAGGTACAAAACCTAATCCCCTTCAAAGTAGTCTCCTTGATAATGTATACACTTCTCCCAGCGCTCCTGCCATTGCTGGAAACACTGCTGGAACGCATCTTTTGGAATGGTTATCAGCCGGTCCGTCGCATTTCGCATGATGTCTTCTCTCGACTAAATTTGGGTTCCTTTTAGCGGCATTTTCAGCTTGAGAAATAGCCAAAGGTCACACGGAGCCATGTGGAGAGAGTACGGAGCGTGACGAACCACAGGAGTATTGTGTTTGGCGACGAAAGCCCGAATCAGATGCGCAGAATGGGCGGATGCGTTATCACGATGGAGCTGCCAAGTTTTGATCGACCACAGATCCGGTCGTTTGCGTCGCACTGTATCGGAAAGACGACGAAGGACCTCCTGGTAGTACTCCTTTGCGATGGTTTGGCCTTGTGGTGCGTACTCACGACACACCACCCCACGAGAGTCGAAAAAACTGTCAACATGACCTTTGATATTGCTGCGGACCTGCCGCGCTTTTTTTGGCCTCGAGGATCGTCCCCGAAAACCTGCTGAATCTTGCAAAAAATTTGATGCAATATCGCTGCTCACGTTGTTGTCATTTTCCAACTTAGTGGAATCCGACGAGCGCTCACTACACGTCCTCACTCATAGGCCGACTGCCAGCGACTGACGCTTCCTGCAGGCGGGAAAAAATTCAGGACTGTGCATGACTGTCCCCTCCACAACTCCACCGAAAGAGACCTCCCGTGCATCATTGGTTTACGCGGGAAAAATAAAGGTCCGATACTTTTTGAACACTCCTCGTATATATTAAAATTTTAATTCAATTGCATTTAATCGTCGATATGTTCTGTTAATCGTCGATATATTCTGTTTATCTTCAATTGATGAGTAAATTTTGTGGATCTCAATGTTATTCTCTTAAATGGCAAATCACTTACAAGTTGTTTTCTTGACACCATGTTAAGATATAGCATTGGTATGCATGATATGTAGTGGTTCGGTTTTACAACGAAGCCAGATCACAATTTCTTCATTGCCTCTCGGCTTCAAAAATCTCTTGACGATTCTGTAGGCGAACTCTTAGCCTCCTCTAAAATGTGCAAGTTAAAAAGTCATTATGTTTAAAAGTAAATTTATTATTTTTCTTCGAGTGAATTCATTATTTATTCAACCATATTTTTTTACGAAAAGAATGTAAAACTTGTGACGTCAGATACATATAAATCTATCGCCCGAAGTTCGTTGAACAAAAACTGCTACAGCGTCTTAAAAACCTGTCAAATGCATAAGAAACGTTTGTCTTTCTACACACAACATTATTAAAATTTTTCTTAGAAATGTAAAAGGTGTTTCTTTAATTTTTAGAAGCAAGTTTTATTATTGAATAGAACTCTCTTTAATCCCCAAGATTTCTTATAATTCAATAGTTTATAAAATTGTTGCTGTGAAATCGATACAAACTCCAATATAATTTTGGCTTTTTTTATAACTGTCTGCCCTGTGGGCACTTAAATAGCCTCTTACAGTAAGCCCATTATGGGTTCGGCCAGGTGGTGAGGGACGGGGACAGACATATCTGGTCGGATCATCCCCCAAAAAATTCCTGGGGATTTTACGACTCGTCCGGATTCGATCCCGGATCCCCAGAGCGGTAGGCTGTCATCTGGCCATCATATAATTTTGGCTTTTAAACGATCAGTTGCTCATGTAGACATGCCATAGGAAACTTAACTTTGTAATTTAGTACTTAAACACTATAGGATCCATAAATTTTATAACAAAATTTATTTCAAAAATCAAAATTCACGGAAACAAAGATAACATACTGTACAGTGGTGCGTGGTACTTCGAGGTCCACCAGTGTCCAAACGGTTGTTCCCTAAACACTGGGAGCTCGGTCGTGGGTTCGCGCATCGCCAGGACGGGCTGGCCAAGTAGTGTTTTCCGGGTTTTCTCCACGTCTATAACGCTTGAATAGGGCCAGTTACCCTTAAAAAGACCTCCCGGCAGGCCTCCCCTAGGCAGATCGCGCAAGTGTTGCGTTGCCATAATTAAATAAACAAGCATGGTATTTCGAACATTATTTCATTCACCAGTACAGTGTAATGTAAATAAAACAATTTTAATCTATGTGACTAAGTTTCAGTAATCTTAAATGTCAGTTTAATAAGTCCTATTAATAGAAATATGCACTGTACTGGTGAATGAAATAATATTTGAATAAATTAAGGACATTAAGTACCATTAAATTAATATGCCTCAGAGTTTGAATGATTCAGAATTGGCACGGCATATTGAAAAAATTAAAGTCCGATCAATTTTACGTTTCTCGCTGTTATATATAACAGAGGGAAACTATGGCAATCGGTCAAAAAATGACCCCAAGTTTTTTATATTTTTGGGACCGAGATCTTGAAACATCTAGAAATGGAAAAAATAGGGATGTTTTTATATGTAGCTTATAGATGTTAGTGTGGGGCATGATTTTTTCACTCTCTTTGAAGCTTAACTCCTGTACTTTGCGTCAACATTTCTGAAATTTTGCATCAAGATGTTTATTAGTGGATTGATGCTATAAAATTTTGGTTAAAGGTCGACAGGTGGATAGATAAAGCGGGTCACATATAGGGTCAAACTTAAATGACAATTTTACTCGTTATTAGCATTTATAATTTATATATCCCATTCCTACCCTCAAAGTTAAATTTTTCCATTTTATAATAATGAAAAATACAAAGTTTTTAATAAAATATAAATGGCGCCACACACGCAGTTTTAAATGTTGACAGTTAAGTAACTTGTTGCTGGATCTTTAAACTGAATACATTTTATAGTTAAAAACACAGTATACTAAATGTGAATGCAGAAAGCAATAAATGCAATCTAATAGCCACATCACATCAAGAAAAACTACTGTATCATATATTCTATTTACTTGTAAATTATCTTAATACAGTACATTTTAGAAAAAACAAAGTGAAAAATATATGTATACATTTATTTTAGATCTTTTAACATTTCAAACTTCTGAATTATTATTTTAAGTCTTTTTGTGATTAAATAAAAATTTTAACAACAAATTTTAGAAGTTTTTATTTAAAATTTTTATTCAAAATTATAACTGATGAATAATACTTTTGATTTAAGAAAAAAATAAATAACTTGAATAAGCTAATAATGGGCTTATTAAGTTAAATTGAATAATTAAGAACAAATTAACTGATTGTCTCAATAATCAGTAACATTTATTCAAAAATTAACATTCAATAGAAAAAAATAGATAAACTTGATTTCATTATAAATACAATGCACTCTTGGCAATCTGAATGAATTTTGTTTATTTTTCTGTTAGACGCTAGAAGAACCAAAAGAAATCACAATTTTTTTAAAACAATGAATTTATAAAATTTATATCTACTACACATTTTAACATAATGTGTTCATGCCAGATATAGTACTGATAAGAAATTTTCAAAAATACTTATTTGATCAGTTTGGAACTCACCTAAACTGATAATAACCATGATTTGATAACATTAAGATTTATTAATTATAATTATTATAATTAATTTCTATATAATTCATTCAGTATTGTTTATCTACCACCAACTAAATGGCATTATGCTATAGATGCTGTTAAACTATTGTACTACAAACAAATGATAACAATGATTATCATTTAAAGAATTAATTAAGACAAAACAATAATTGATAACAATTGCATGTTATCAGTTATATGTTAAGGCTGATAGCATGAAGAGAGCTTAAAAAGGCCTATTTATCTGAAGATTATAATAAAATTGTGAGTACAATAAACAAAGTTTTTACAATGTATTTTGACTTGTTTTGGGAATTGCTAATTTTAGTAACATTATAACTGATAACATTTTTTATGATTACAAAATAAAAATACTGTCTGTATATATTTTATATACTGTAAACAAAAGAAACATACTATATACATTACTCTGTAGTCTTTTTGACTTCCTTTTCTTTATACATAATATTGCTTATCCAAACAATCTTGTATCATAATTAATAAGATTTAGCAAGAGTGCACTGTACATACAATTATTTATATAAAATTTATAAAATTTCATTCAATTTAAAAAAATATATTGTATATATAAATTTGTTGATTTTATTTCTTATATATTTTATAAATAAGCATTTAACAGAAATTTATCCGTCAATTTTACGTGTAGCATTCAATACCTGATATATATCATTTAAACAGGATTCAATACATTCTGCAAACTCTCTACCATTCCTATATGTAGAGTAAGAACTCACAGCACATCCTGGTAATTCATCATGAAAACCATAGGCAACACCATATCCATCTTCCACTACTGGACCAAAACCACCACCACTAAATGCTGTTCCATATAATGTGGATGTTGATAGATGGAAATGATTGGCTTTGATATAGGTAGAATCTTGATATATTTCTGGCAGCTTTTCCCCTTTCTTTTCAATGTAATACTTCATTGCAAATAAATGTCGATCAAAACCTTGACCTACATAAATATATAAATTATTATTGAAACACTAATACTAAACATAAATTATTGAAATATTTTGTCTGTCTATTTTTTTATTGTAATTAAATGAAAACAAACATTTTATTTTTAAAGTTTTATAAATATTAATTACTTTATAATGTGGCTACATGCCATATTTAAATTGTATATTTTGTATATAATTGTATTATTTTATATTGTATATTCTCTGCTTCCCCTCTTTCTGTCCTATTTGTCTACCCTTCCTGGAATGTTCTCGTTTTCACCTTTGCTTTGGTATGTGGATGACTAACCCCAGAAACAAAGAAGTGGAATGCAGCCCTGAGGGGAAGGGGGCAAACACATGGGTCATTCTGAGGCAGAAACCTGAAGGAGAGAGAGCGAAATGGAGTCTCCCCAGTACGTTTAGCATCGTATCGTAGAGACGAGAACCTTGGAACTGAGAAATAAAGAGAAATTAATTGTGAGGAACAAGATGCATCAGCCCTTCAAACTATTATCTTGGAGATTGACAAAAGAGAAGTTAGTCACCAACCCAACAAGACATCTCATCCACAATCCCATACAAGTAGCATACCTCATCAAGTTTTGGGTACCCTCTTTTCATTCCTTACTTTCATTCTCTAAATTTTCTAATAAGCCTTCTTTATTCAATAGTTGTAAGTAATAATAAGAATCTAGTTTTAATTAATATAATTTTAAGTAATTGGATCATTGTGTCAGACAAAGGACTACACATGCGCATTCTTTGTTGGGAGACTATATTGTACAGTGGTTGAATAATTAATTGTGTGAATTATTCGGTGGGTGTAGCATCGTTTTTATCCTTAGAAACCTGTATCATAACGAGCGAGTTAATAAAATTATTGTATTTTCTTTTATTTATTTTCAATTTTGTGTCTTTGTCTCACTCGTAGATTTCACAATAATATTTTATAAAATGAAAAATTTATTTACCCATTGCTGCTTCTTTTGTTAACTGGTTATGAATTTTGGAACAATCATTTAACATTGTTCTTAATTCACTGGGTGATGGTTTGTTTTTTTTCTTGGTAAATGCTTCAACACATGTCTTTGTTGCTGTCGTTGCTGAACGCACTGTCTCTGTCCGACCATGTTTAAATGCTGAAGTACTACATGATTCATAAGTTGCTGGTATTTTATTGTTTTGCTTGTAAAAAGCCATCTGAAATAAAAAAAATAATTAAATTTTAAAAAATTTATGGTTTCTCAATTAGAACAACATTTTAATAAAATTTTAGCATTGCTTGAATGTTCATGATTATACTGAATTAACAAAAGTTAAATAAATTTAATGATATTTCAAGAATAAGCAGAATAGTAAAAATTCTAAAGAAGTAAATACTGTACTAAAATTCAAGAAAAATAAGTTAGCATTTTTTTTAAATGTAAAAATAATAAACAGAAAACATTTCTGTAAAATTCATGAGACTATTACATTAATCTAATTAATTAAGAGTTTATTAGTGAAAAGTTTCAAAAAGCAAATATGACCAAAACTTTTCAAATATTTAAAAAATATTTAGATTACAGTGCTTTGACAAACTGCACTTTGATAATACTACTAATTTCACACTTATAGCTTTAAATTCAGTATACTTTGCAGTGAAATACAGCCCCAAAATACATACCACCACCTAAGATGCAGATCAAAAAGATTATACCAGAGATTGAACAAGCTGTAGAAGGGTTGAATGAAATGTAGAAGGAATTATTTAGATGGAAAGTGACCTTCAAAATTAAAGAATGCACATGCTCTATGAACAGCCCAATATGGAGGATGAGAAAAGAAATCAAAAGATAGCTTTCTGACAATGATGTAGTCTTAAAATAGACAAATTAAAAAAGATATAGTAATACTTAAAACATCTACATATAGCCAGTTCCTTATAGAATACACTGAAGCAATGCCTGCACAACAGCCCTTCCAAACTTAATTGATTGTCTGCAAAAAAGGGTAAAAAGGTTCACAACCACTAAAACTAAAAATGACAAATGTGTCTATCTTCCCCAAGGCTGACTGGAATGGGTTCACAAAAATCCACAAAGCAGGGAAATGCATAAGGACAATGGATAAATGTTGTTTACTATTGCCTTATAACAAGCACTCAATATCTACATCAGTAAGCACCTGCCACTGCATGAATTAAGCATTACACAACCATTATGAGATAACCCAGAAATGCCATCAACTGAAATTATATGAGGAGGAGTAGGTTACAATGCTAGACTTTAAAGATTTATACTCTTCCATAAAGCTAGAGCCATGTTTTTGCCACATAACTTTCTCCAGTAAAAAGTCTCTTAACAATGCTAAAAAAATACTGTACTGCAACAAATACAGTGGGTGATCAGTTAACGAATATTGTTTGATTTGTTTGCAGTTCAGACTGCAAACAAATCAAACGATGAGCACTTTCACAAAAGATTTTTACATTTGGACAACGAACACCTCACAGAACAAACACAAGAAGCAGCATGTCTCCAGGTAACAATTCAAAATTTTCAGAGTGTGGGAGATGTTGACATTGACACTCAACCTGGTATATACTGATTGAATAGTATTCCCTTCTTTGAAACTCCCTTGTAATTCCAGTTTTTTTGTTTACCTTTCTGACAAAGAATTTTTTTATAGTCTTCATGAGACTATTGAGCAGGCTGAGACTTGTTAAGTTTGTGTCAGTTTTTATTTTTGAAAGGCGAGTTTAACAGCCATGGTAGAGGGGGCAGATGTCTGATGTTGCTTTGCAGTAAGGCTTGAACAGGTCTACATTAGGCACAATCTTATCTAAGAAAGATATAATCAAGAAGATTCAAGCAGCTAAAGGAGTAACGAAAATCACATCTGAGAAACAAAGAACATTGAAGAGCTCATAATGGAACCTAAAACTGATCTGATGACAGAAGAACTCCAAGAACTCTTGAATGAAGAACATCAAGAAACTCGGCAAGATATGTTTTTTTCTGAAAAAGAGGACCATTGTTGATTAAAGATCTTTTGAACAAGTGGAAGGATGTCAGAACAACAGTCTTAGAATGGCATCCAAACCAGGCTGATGTTAATAGGCTTAGGGATCTCTGCAATGACAATACTATTAATTATTTCCTAAAAATCCTGAAGAAGATAGAAAAGCAGTCAACATTGGATAGATTCTTTAACACCCCACAAACAGAAAAAAACATGACTGATAAAATTCAAGACTTTGTATATATGTATTTTTATTATTACATACAAATAAATATAATAAGAAAGTATATAATTTTTTTTTTTGGTCTCCAGAACAAATTAATCAAATTTCCATAAAAATCTATGGTAAATCAATAATCAGTTAATGAACAATTCAGATAGTAAACATGGTCTTGGAATGGATTATGTTCATTAACCAATCACCCACTGTACTGGCATTAGCACACACAGCAACATATTCATCCTCCTCCTTGTTTAATGGAATTACATACAATCTGAATAAAGGGATCCCCGTGGAAAGTGCCTTTTCAGAAACACACTGCAAAATGGTCACTGGAAAATGCAATCTTGCCTAAGTACTATGAAAACATAGCACTGTATGCCAGATACATAGATGATGTCTTAATAATTTGGAAGAAACAACCTAACATCAAGAAATTCATAAGTGATGTCAATGTGAACCCATCAGGTTAAAAATTCAGTTAGAAGAAGAAAGTGATATTTTTACACATTTCTTAGATGTCACAGTCATGCTGAAAGGAGGTGAAATTACCACACAGAATATAATATAGAAAATATAGAAAACCCACATAAAATCCAATATTTATATCACGGGCATCTCATGATCCAAACAACTATAAGATGGCATCTTTTAGAATGCTGACAAAAAAGCACACACATACTATGTAAATGTACAAGATAAAGAATAAAAGCTGGAATATATTAGTTCTTTAGGGCACCAATTTGGATTTAAACTGAAAAATATCAAAGCATTGATCAAGAAATGCATGATAAAAAAAACACAAGAGGCACAAGCAGAATATACAGTGATGGAGTACAGGGCCCCCCTTGGTAAAACGTAAGGAAATAGGTCAATCAGCAGGAAGAAAAAAATAATGTTTGAAAGAAATCCAACTGTTTATAGGCTACTCCAGAACAACAAACAGCCCACTGATCCAACCCATGTACTGAGGGTTTACCAAATAACCCTAGAAGACAGCAGAGTAAAGCAAGAATTATGTTATATCAAGCAACTAATTGATCACTAGCAGCAAGAATTAAAGAGCATAAAGACATCATCAATAAAGCCATCCCTAATATAGCACTCACAACATATGTGCTTGCTGATCCTACCTCTGTCTCAGTGGTTTGAAACCAGCTAAAATAATACAAAAGAATATAGAAAAAGTAGTAGATAAAACACTCCAGAGCTTGGAAAATTTATAAAGCAATACAAATACAAAAGGGGCAAGCAATCAATCGCAGAGACTGCAATGCAACATTGAGAGCATGGAAAGCACTACTGATATGACACAGAGCTTTATTTATTTATCCATATTTATCAAGATTTATTTTAGTTTTATACATATATTTATTTATATTAAGTCTATACTATATTGTTTTTTTTTTTACTGTAAAATTTTTAGTGGTTATTGTATTTTTAAACAAATAACAAACATTTGGCATGTGAATTTCAATTTGTAAAATTACATTCTAATATGTTAATTTTCAAACTGAGTTAACAAGTTCTACACTTACAGCATTATTCTATATTTAGTATGTATTGTTTTCTTTGAAGGTGGTCATTAAAAATGACTGAAAATGTTGGAGTATAATTAAAAGTATACTGCATTTAAAGGTTTGAATGTGAAATTAATAGAACATTACAGTTCATTAATTAATTAATTACTAAAATTGATACTTAATAATAATAATTATCCTTGAATTAAATGCATTCTCAAATTGTCAAAGACAGGAAAAGCAAACTTCTGAGAGTCAATTTGAATCATTAAATTTTTATGAAACTAATCCAATTCTTTGATAGCTTATGCAACTGATTTTATTATCTACAAATTTGGTCTGTTTACATGATAACAATTGTAAGAATGTGTAAATTTCTACATCACTCAAATATAGTTGATAACAAAAGCAAAAAGTAATTAAAAATATAAGAAAAATTTATTTTTATTATTATTAATCTACCAGAAATCAATTATTAATTTTAATTAATTAATTACAGTTGACAGACTATTATTATTAAATTAACTATCTAACAATTCAATTTTCAAAAATTGTAAAGACAAGACTAATTTACATCAGAATGTAAATAATTTTCTTTACTCTCTTTGACTGTAAGACCAAGACTCCACTAGCATAAAAGTAATTTAAATTTAAATCAAAATATTTCAGAAAATGTGGATAAAGTAGTACTTGTCTGTTTTGATTCATTTGGTTATATCCAGGCAGAGTCAAGTCTCTATTTAGAGCACTTTACAAAAAGTGTTAGTTTTGGTTTCGGTTGGCAATGATGAAACATTTTGCTTTTAATATAAATATATATTATATTACAAATGTAGATATTATATTATATTGCATTTGTAGGCATTTTTATGCATGAAAAGCTGCTTAAGAAGAAGGAAAAAAAAAAGAAAAGCTTTGTTTTGGGGTTGGGAATGGATTAATACACTTTACATTACATTATTTCTTATGGGAAAATTTGTTTCAGTTTGAGAACAAATTGATTTGCAAATAACTTTCAGAAACAAATTAAGTTCATAAACTGAGGTTTGACTGTATTTAAAAATTTTGAAAAATTCAACTATAAAAAACAATGTTTAAAATTATATGAAAAATAGGCAGATTAATTACAGCAATAATTTGGTTTATTAATAATATATCACTAAGCCCAATGTATTAATAATAAACCAAATGACTATATAAACCTTACGGCGACAAGTAGCCTAAAAAGGAAGGTCAGTCGCTGAACACAAGTAATAAATGGTGATCCTTTTTGGACAGTTTTGTCTTCAATTTTATTTTATTAGAAATAATTCTCCGTCGGACGAACGTTTACAGAAGAAATTTCTACATATATCATCACCAGGGGGCAAATTCTCTAAAAATCTACATTTTCCAGCACTAATCTTTAGTAGATAAAAAGAAGAAGAAACCCCAAAAGAAGGTATGATGGAAGTAAG